GGGCTGGACGTGAGGAGCCGGGATAGCGCAGTCAGTATAGCAACTGGCTACGGGCTGGACGTGATGAGCCGGGATAGCTCAGCCGGTATAGCGACTGGCTACTGGCTGCTCGTGAGGAGCCGGGATAGTGCAGTCAGTGTAATGACTGGCTATGGGCTGGAGATTAGGAGCCGGAGATCGAGTTCCAGTGGGGTCAAGAATTTTCACTTCTCCACGTCATGCACACCGGCTCTGGGGTCCACCCAACCTCCTATCCAATTGGTATCGGGGGCTCTTTCCCTTGGGGTAAAGCGGCGGAGGCGTGAAATTGACCACTAACCTTCAAATAGTGCCAAGGTCAAGAAAACGTGGGTCTGTATGTCCACTCCTCCATACGTCTTCATGGCGTAGTGCTTAACTGGTTAAGCACAGGGCCAACTTTATCTGTTTTAATTATTAATTTAGAGTCTTTGCAAGCTTCAGAATATGCTGCCTCAAGTGACAAAATCTTCAGATCCTCTCTCAGTTGAGAATGACATCACTTTCCCCATAATTATGAAATTAGTGGGTTCACCAGTGTGGGTTTTATGTAGCATATTTTGCATTCATTATATTTTGAAAAAAGAAATGGAAGCACAATGAGAGAGTACATCTGCTATTCATAGACTTCAAGAAAGCCTATGATTCAGATAACAGCGAAATATTGTACAATATTCTGATAGTGTTTGGGGAACCAATGAAACTAATTAGGCTGATTAAATGAGTTTCAATGAAAGTCCATAAACTCCATGCTAGTTTCTTGCTTGGTCTATTCTTCAACCACGAAGATGGAGGCAGCATGTTCCGCTGAACACCAGATGACTTTCAATGGACTACATGGCATTATATCCTTCATCTTCACCACCTCATGAGCAACCCCAAATGCTGCATATGAAAGTCACATGGCGACAGGTCCAAGCTGAAAAGAACATGTTCCAACATCTTTCAGGGCATTAAGTACAGTGGACCACATGGAGACTGGAACTGTAACGTAACGTGGTAACAACACCTTTGAGAATTCTGGGATACTCTTTCTTATTGGCAATACTAAAGTCTCACAGGGTTCCACAATCATGCTGTGTTGATGTCAGTATTCTAACGACCTACAGCTGAAGGCATAAAGGCTCCTATGCTGCAGTGCATATGACCTACTGACTCATGCATCAATCCAACACATGCCCAATGACTAGGGGTTCGATTTTTTATATAACCTCCACTCCTCTCTCTAGAAGAATCCCTGATTAGTTTCCAACTGAACAAATCCCATAAATGGATTAAGAAAATATACAAACAAAATTGGGATGATGTAACTTGAAGCAGACCTGCTGTAAACACAGAGTATGAATGAAGTATAGGACAAATATCTGAGCACATGTTAAATCATCCAAGAGGAAATACTGCTCAATCAAATATTTTTCTAATTGTAAAAAGCACACCTATCTGGAAGTAATATTCTTGACTAGTTCTGGCAGTAATGTTGTTACCAGTTAGCTTCTTCTCTACGCATGACCATAAGCCTGTTTTCAAATGTAAATTTCACCATCTTTTTTATTGTATTCGATAACTTTTCGCTTCATGAGAGCTGTCCCTTGATGTATACAATCCAGCTGGGTGCCATTCATGACACACAGTTGTTCCATTCTGTCCTTAATTTGTTCGGCAATTTTCCTTTTTCCTGGACACTGCACTGATGTCTGACATGGCACCTTCTCTTAGTAATGAAATTAATCACAAAATTAACAAAAGAAAAGAAGCCATACTTAAGTCATTAAGAATGCTTTACTGGAGAGTTGGAAATGAGGATAACAGAAGTGGTAGGCTCATGTGCTGATACTGTAGAGCAGCGATTTTCAACTGGTGTGCTGCGGGAGTTTAGGGAAAGATAAAAAGGTAGCAAGAAAAAATTAGGAACAAAAAAAAATCACTGAAATCCATGATGAAAAATTTGGTTCTGGCACCATGCTACTAGCTGGAAGGTTGTGGGTTTGGGTCCTGATGACGTGGATTTTTTTCAATTGACCTAAGCCTTCCAGCCTTGGAGTCGACTCAGACTCTTAACACAAATGAATACCAGGAATCTTCCTACGGGGTAAAGGGTGGCCAGCACATAAGGCTGACAACCTTACCACCAACTGTGAGCCGATTGTCTAGAAGCTATGGGAGCCTCCACGTCTCACAACCTTATGGGCCTTCACAGCCTGTTACAGGGATAGCTTTACCTTTTCTTTTTTTTTACAGTGACTAAAATTTCAGCTATAAACACAATCATATTACTTATTACTTTAGTGTAAAAATCTCTCCTTAAAAACCGAAGGAGTGCCTTGACAATTTTAACGTCTTCTTTGGTGTACTGCAATTTGAAAAAGGCTAAAAAAACTCTGCTGTAGAATATAACAGGCCTATATAGTACTGTACTCACTGAGTTCAGAGGAAAACAAAGGACCACATGTAACCAAGTGATGATCAGGAGGCAGAAAGGCAGACCAAAGAAGGACGATGTCAAGCAAGCCAAGGAGAATACAGAACTTCAAGAAACTGACATGATAGGATAGTGTGGAAACTGAGAAGCAAAGGTGGCAAGCACTGTAATCTCATGCTCATTTGTACCAATCTTTTATTTTTTATTTTCCTGAAATTTGTTTAACAATGTGAAATACAAAGAAAGATGGTTCAGTAGCAGTGTAACTAGAATAGCAATAAACATCAGTCCATCACCTGAATTTGTTCCTGATCGCATCATCTGTACCTTCAATTTCAATGGAGTCATACATCCACTTCCTGTTCTGCCTACAGAGTCAAATAAAACAAACATTTTACAAATTTAAAATGTGTGATATGATGAAAAAAAGTCAAGTTAAAGAATCACTGGTTCCAGAACAAATGATTGCAAGAGTGTAGAAATATCATGAATGGATAGATAAATACTGGTGGTAGGTTTGTAAATTACAAGAGAACAGGGCGTTAACAGTCCCCCATTACATGGCAGATATTATTTTTCCTACATTCCTTAACTATTACAAATGATAAAACAATTTCATATAAAGTGTATATTACAAATATTGTATATTTATGTACATATTTTAAAAATCAAAACACCCAATGTAATAGTAGTTTCTAAAAGTATTGATGTTCCCTCTGATGATGGTCTATAGGGACCAAAACATGTTAGGGTGCTAAAAAGTGAAGTAGTAAAACCTTCAACAGTCACACTGGACACAATTGTTTTATCATTTGTAATATTGTTAGTGTGACAGACCAGAATGAAACAAATAAAATTCCTTAACTATTCGCTGTATGAAAAATGTTTCAATGGAAGTTGCAGATTTTAAATGACATCAGTGACTACGTTATATGCTGGATGGCTGCTCACACAGGCACATAATTATTTCTTCTCTACAGCATCCAGGCCAGTTCTGAGGCTCACCCAGACTCCTTTCCAGTGGGTACTAACAGATCCTTCCCCAGGACATGAAGCTTACCACACCGCCCCCGCCCCCCGAAGTATTGAGGTTATGAATGTGTGGCACTATACGTCCCCTCCACCTTACATCTTCACGGTGTGTTGCTCAATTTTGCATAAGGCCAGCTTTACTTTAGTTTTACCATTAAGAAAATTTGAACATTTTTATTTGAGCTTCATATGAAGTAAGGGTTACACCAGATCAACATGAACCACAATTAACTCCTTCAGCAATATAGTTTCTAAAAAGAACTGAACATTACTGTCACAGAGTGCTGCAATCTTCTGAGAAAAAGAGGAACTACTATATGCAACAGCTGTCTTGCAGTTCAGAGGAACAGCAGGATATAACAGACACAACAGTGTACTGAGCCCAAAAGTTTTCCAGGATATGCACCAATGGGAACAGATGGCACATCACAGAAGAGTTCCAGAAAACATTTAAATCTGCCTAACAACTTTTAGTGTTGATCTCATCAGCTTATTTCACACTGAAATATGTTCTATATTTCCTGATATAAAACTTCATGACACAATGACAGGCCTGACCTCCCCATTATACCTTCACTTTATGTAAAGAAAGCACAATATTTTAAATAACATTTCTGACACAAAGATAATTCTAGAACAAATATTTTTACAGGTATATGGACACATGTACAGATGCATGTATATGAAATCTGTAACAAATCATTAGGGCCACCTACCTGCATTCATGGGCACATTTGCAGGAGAGACACTTTGGACATGGGAAGTGGCATCCTGGACAGGTTTCTTCAAGGCAGTCACACAAATCCTTCTCCAGTGTCATAATTACGCCCTTTTCATCATACAGGTTTGTCTGCTTCCTCCTGTTGCAAACACAACACTGGCATTACCCTACCATGATGGACATAGAACACAATTTTCCTTCAAAGATTAACACTTGTCTCACATTCCATAAACAATAAGGCAAAGTATCATAATAGCCAAAAACTTTAAATGTGCTATGCTGTGCATTTGTATGACAAAGGTACTATATCATGATTCTTTATGGGAGAGAAAGAAGGTGTCTTAAACATACTGTCATGTATCCGGGGTCTGCGTGACTAATAAGACAGGTTTCTGGATTCGATGATCAAATTTATCGGACCTTTACACAACTGGTTACAACAGTTCACAAATAATTATCTGACACACTGTCATGTGCTTCTGACTGGACACTCCAATGGAACAATTGTGACTTCCAAATGGACTCCGCTGTACTCCATTGTACTCTTTCGTACTCCTTTGTATTTCTTCATTCTCCAATTATTCTTCTGAGGACGAGGAAGGAGAGGATTATGCCACTAAAGAGTAGGCCAACTGTGCACTTTATAATTTTAGAGACAGCTCAGTCAGTATGGTGATCAGGCTACAGGCTGGATGACTGAGAAGTTGGGTTCAATTCTCAGCAGAGGTGAGAGATTTCTTTCTCTCAATAACATTCAGACCAGCTCTGGGGAGATCCTATCCAATGATTACCAGGGGCTGTCGCCCCGGGTGTAAAGTGGTAAGGGTGTGAAGGTGACTACTCACCTCCATCTAGTGCTAAGAATGGTTGTGCTGTACCTCTATTCCCCCCACACACCTTAATGGCACAGCACTTAATCAAGACCAGGGGTAATTTTACCTTAACGTGCAAGCAGCAATAACAACACAGTAAATACACGTACTTGTGAGGAAGGTGGAAGCGACACTTGCAACATTTAATTCATGATGGCAACAGACCTTAAAAAAGTTGTTAACTTTTGTTAAAGCAATAAATTTTGTAAGTCAACAATTGGTTTCTTGGGGTAGGGTGAGACTGAGTCCACTTGGTATGTTGGCCTATTTTACCAGCCATGATAGATGATGATCAGTGTGGAGCAATCGGTGGAATGGGACTTTGCAGGGGAAACCGAGGTAATCAGAGAAAACTTGCCCCAATGCCACTTTGTCCACCACACATTCCACATGATCTGACCTGGGATCAAACCCAGGCCACCATGGTGGAAAGCCAGCAAATAAGCACCTGAGTTATGGCATGGACCTAGTCAAAAATTATGAACAGTGACAGTGCAAAACATTTTAGGTTATATCCAAGAAATTTAATGCATAATGAATCTGTAATTATGCCCGTCCCCAAAGAAGACAAGAAACAACAACAATTTGTAACATAGTTACAACTAACTTGAATAGCATTTGATCCTGTGACCATGTGTGCACAAGCCCAGCATGACAACCCATGGGCTAAATTGTACTGTACTGCTGGACTACAATATTCTCCCATCTCCTTCTTCACATCATAATACAGGCCTGGGCCTGTGGAGGGGTGGGAGGGGGAGGTTCACACTGTACCACAAACACTTTTACCTGCAAGCTTTATTACAAAACATATATCCTTTTCAATACACTAACAAACATATCTCCCTTACAATGACACAGAAGCACATGAGAACAGAAAAAATTATTGTGCGTAGCACATGGTTAGTGTGCTCACAATGAAAGAGTTTACGTGCAACAACATACACACCTGATAATGGATATTGAGACATCAAAACATGTAGTGTAGTAGTGGAAGGACATGAAATAGGAGTGGTTGAACCAGGAATCACATAAAAAGCTGCACTGAAGACTGTGCTTGTGTACACACATTTAAGGTGAAAGTAAGGCTCTCCCTGTAAGAGGCCATGGAGGCCCATAGGGTTGTGAGACATCAATGTTCCCATATTTACTAGACAATCGGCTCGCAGATGGTGGTGAGGTTGTGAGCCTTACGAGCTGGCTGCCCTTTACTCCCCAGGAAGATTCATGGTACTGATTTATGTTAGAGGCTGAGTCGACCCCAGGGCCATAGTGCGGCTGGAAGGATTAGGTCATGACCAAACTGGGACTCATACTCCCAACCTTCCAGCTTGTAGCATAGTGCCTCAACCAACTACACTATACAGTGTTGAGTGAAATTAACTGAAAAATTACATCGTTAGTACGAGGTAACCAGACATCCCATCTTTAACAAGACTGTCCTGTTTCTGAGGGAGGTGTCCCACTGTCCCAACAAGGAAAAAATGGGATACCAAACAGTCTTATTTCCAGCAGAGCTGTTTTATTGAGGTTAGCCCTTTCTATGGGACTCAACAGAGTATGTGTCCCTCCCTCATCTGAGAATGGAAACAGATCCCCCTCAATCCAGTGATTGATGTTAGCTCTTTCTAAGGGACCACACTCAGTAGGTGTATCCCCCACACCTGAGCATAGAAACAGATTCAGTTTCCGAAACGTTGTGTTTTCTAGTTTCTAGAATACCGAACAATGGACGAAGTCCAAAAACCCATTAAATAATTCCATCTTGATTATAAATGTGACATATATAACATTAACAGCATAATACCATAGTGCCGGATATCTATTCAATAGGAAAATAGGCTTCACGATTTGTCTGAAACCCCTTACATACTCTCGCCCATACTACTGCAGTTTTATTATAGAATCATTATACGAGTATACCACCATCCTATGTCAATGTTGTTCCCACTTTAAAAGTTCGGACACAATGTTGGGATGTTGAACATATTTGCAGTACTTGCAAAACGTTGTGTGAGAATGACCACAAGTGGCATGTATTTGTTTCGATTTTGTTAAAAAAATACGTAAGGTAACTTTCGGTAGGTTTCATGTAGCCTTCTTACCCTCCAGTGTAAATTTTTCGTGTCAGTTTCCTCCGTTCCCTGTTGCTTCTTTCGGGGTCAAAGTTCTCCATAAACTTCATATTGTCGTTCTGGATTAATTTCTTTAAGGCTGTGGATACTTTCTGAAATATATCGAACATAACAAAGCCGTAGAGACTTATCCATTTTCAACAAGTATAGTTCAGCCTCCCACTGTTCTGTTACTACTTTCTTTTCTCACTTGTGAATTGGTGATTTCTCGCCACTCAAAACCATGATTAAAAACAACACACAAAATCGTTGACCTACCTGAGTTGTCTGTTTTGAGCCTGCCTGGCCCGAACTCAAGTCTCCCGCATCGGTACTGCAATCACTGTTCTCAAACCTGGAATTCGAGTTAGAACTGTCATCTGGATCAATAAATGATTCCATAACCGACCACCTTCACAAACGCCATAGCCCTTGCTTTGTTTTGTAATGGTCGAAAATGATCACGTGTCACGCACACTAGAACTAGAACGAACTAGAATGAACCAGAAATTTCTCATTAGAAGAAAAATGATTGAAGTTGGTGGTATATTTAAAACGTTTAAAACATTCTCAGCATTCTCAGTATATCGCATACATAAGTGTGGACTATTATAACATGCACAGTGTTATTTTCAATAGCACAAAAGAATACAAAATTTTAAGAGGTACAGAATACAGCTTTAAAATATTACAAATATTATGTTTTTGGACATTATGAATCGTCCTGTTAATTTTCGAAAAATGTTTGAAAAATAAACAAGACGGTTTTTAGATAAAGCCAAGACGATGGATATTGTCGAAAAACATAATATTTGTACGTGAAGAAGTAACAAATTATCCCCACTCTTCTTTTTCCAATTTATATACATAAAAGTAGGGGTTGAACAAGTAATTTTTCCACATAATCTCCTTCCTTTTCGATGCACGATTCGTTTGGCTGTTCGGTATTGAGGTTAGGTTATGTTACCAGGCGTGGGAGCTGTTAAAAAGAGATCCGCATTCATTTCCATTAATCGAATAGAGCGTCATTGATGTACTGTTCCTTGTGCTTCGTTTAGATATGCAGTTCAGCCTTGCAACCTATTGTATGGGCAGCAGTGCTTATATAATGGAAAGATGACACATGATTTGACCATCTGGAACACTGGACATACAAATATTGGTATAGTGCCTTATTGCTGTCACTGCATCATGTGTTCTCCACTAAAGTACTTAAATGGAAGCTGTGGTAGTGTGCAAGAATACAGGTACTGATGTCACCAAAACAATAATTTAAAAGATGTTAGAAACAGCAGACAAATAGTGAGTTAATAGTATTTAAGTTCAGTATCGTCAGCTTGCTGTGGAGCCTCAGTGTTCCGTGAAGGGTTGACGGGGACTCTGTGGACATATTTTGGAAAATCTATACAACAGAGTAACCTAACTGGAGAATGTGAAATATTTTAAATATTTGGGTAACTTGTTAACAGATGATGGAAGGTGTACTAGTGAAATTAAATCCAGGATTGCCATGGCAAAAGCTGCATTCAGCAAGAAGAAGAATCTTTTTACCAGCAAATTGGACTTAAATTTGAGGAAGAAACTAGTGAAATGCTACAATTGGAGCATAGCTCTGTATGGGGCTGAAACTTGGACACTTCGGGCAGTATATCAGAAACATCTGGAAAGTTTTGAAATGTGGTGTTGGAGAAGGATGGGGGAAGAT